AGATATAGCCCATTTAAATAATGTAGTTGAAAAATACCAATTCACAATAGACAAAATAACAAGAGAATTGGATCAACTACAGCTAGAAATGTACAATGACATTACATTATATAACAATAATATAGAGGTATTTTTTAGTTATTCTTGTTTATTAATTATTATTTATATTTTAGAAAATTGTAATATTAATATTTGCATCAATATTACAGGATCTGCAGATATCAGAGGAAGAGGATGACAATGAAGGGAAAATAAACCAAGAAGATAGTATTGATGATGTTGTTGTTTTGGAGAATATAGTAGAAAAAGATGAAGAGGAAAGACAAGAAATTGTAAGTACCACCAGTATCATTATGTCTACAAAGGATGATAATGATAGCAATGATGGTGATGATCTAATGGACCTGACAAATAATTTAAATGAATCAACAAATACCAGATGTAAGTGCTGATTTTTAAAGATGTGTATAAAATTCAACCAATTGAATTTGCTTAAATAATTATTTGCATATCAATTTGTAAAAGTGACTAAATGATATTCTATACATTATTTTAAAATAAAAAACAGGCTTTTACACAAAACCACCAAGGTACAGGCTGTATAATATAGCTTTAAATGAAATCAGACGACATCAAAGAACAACAAATCTTCTTCTAAGAAGAATACCTTTTTCTAGAGTAGTTAGTGATCAGAAGATTATTATTACATTATTAATAATCATTTAATATACAAATACTAGTCAATTAATCATTATGTATATATATGTATAGGTTGAAGAAATTGCCACAAACATATTTCAACAACATTCTAATATGGGATTTGAGTTTGAATCCACAGCCATTACAGCACTTCAAGAAGGTAATTAATTGATTTATTTTTTGATTGAATCCTACATGTATGAATTTGTGAATTTATATGTGTGTGTATAATATTATATTTTTTTTTAATTAGCTGCTGAGACATATTTAATTGAGTTGTTTCAGGATGCATAAGTTGATTTAATAATTTTCAATCTGTAAAAAGATAATGATTCTATTTATTCTATTAACAATATTACTATTAATAAAAAAAACTTCTTCCCCATTATCATCATCAGTCAACTATGTACAATTCATGCTAAGCGAGCAACACTGTCAAAAGAAGATATTGAATTAGTACTAAATATTCGTGGTTAAGGGGTTGATGAGTTGATGATGTTTTTTTTTAATTTTTATTGGATTTTCTTTTTTTTAATATTAATATAATTCAGTGTGTAACAAAAAAAGCTTATTAAGTTAGGGTTATAATTAAAAAAATATATTAATATTAATATTATCACAATTACACTAAATTTTGATCCCTGTAATGTGTGCAATATAATGTTCACTTTGTCTGGTTTTGTTGCAGTATGTCCCATATATAAATTTTAGCCTCATTTTGTAAAGTCTATTTAAGCACAGAGTACAACAAAAGTATATGATATTTGGATATTTTTAGGAGGCTTCCTGTATGTTGATGAAATTCTTAAAAAAGTTGTCCTGATATTTCAAATTAAGTAAGAAAGGCATATGAAAAACAAATCATTAATGATGAAGATGGTAACTAAACAATAATTGTATCAACAAAAATAGTCAAAAAACTTGTAATAATAATGTCATGTGGTTTTTTTGTCAAGCATTTTTGTTAATCATAAGAATTTCCATCATAACAAGATCACATTCTGGATCAAAATGGCTTCACTATCTCTTATGGCAAGGACTTTTATGCTACAACATGTTATAAAAAAAAATACAAGTTAAGTATTATCTTGACATATCTCAACTCTTGCGAAATTATGCATCTCACATCTCATGCTCAGAGTCAGAGGAAAAAACAAATTATTTGCAAGATCATACTACTTATGTCACAAATGAAGTGAGTGAGCGGAGATGTGTTTTTAGTATGTGACCAACTCCATGTAAGATTTTGCGTTTTATCACTTGTCTTTTCAATCTGTTTTGCATCATATGGCCAACTTCCTAGAATTGTCTACTAGTGTCAAATAAATGGTAAATTATTTTGTCCAGCTGTTGATTCACTAAACGTGTTGTTAGTGGATTTTCAGGTAAACATTTGGCATATGCATAATATTATTTTCTTTTGGTACATAGTAAA